ATTTTTGTTCTCAGGTTGAACAACAATTTAAGTGTAGGACTTCAAGGCTTTCTTCATATAGTTTTTTTCCCATGTCTGAACGGAATGGATGAGAAGATTTACGTTCTTTTCATAACCTTGGATATCGCCGCGAAAAAGAAAGTTTCGCTGGTATTAACGATTGAAGGGTTTTTAGGCGACTAGCCATATATCACTTCACCGAAGGTTTGAAACGATATCGAAGAACCAGTACCCATATTTAACGTCGAGCTCAGTGTGCTTGATGCCTTCGAATGGATCCGGCTTCAATGACTTTACTCCAATCAAGAAACCACCAAAATTACCGGCTTCTTTCTTTTCTTTAGGCAGATACATGCAGCATTTCTCATGCTTTCCTTAAAAACAAACCCAAATTAGCTTGTGATAAACTCTTCAAGTTAGGTCAGCTATAAATAAGGACAACAACAAAGAAAGACAAGGAGTATATTTGCCAAAAAAACTCTATGCGCTACATAAAACTATAGCACTATCTTTTATCCTTTTACATTGAAAAGATCAAAAGAAAAATAACTAACCTTCATTAAAATTACACAGCATTACTATAACTTTACTTTTCTCTGACGTGATCATATGCCAGAAATCATCAAGGCATTCCAGAAGTGGTCCCTACAACTTGCTGCCTATCGAAGTAGAAAACCAATCCAGCAGAGAGCCTAGAACTGACTTGTGTGCATATATACTTCTGGCCATCCGGCATTGTCATCCAGCTGGCATGAATATAATCATCATCTGGAGGGCGATCTTTCAGAACCACTCTTGTAGCATCAATGCAAATGATATCGTTGTATCTGCAAAGTAATCGAGAATCAAGAAATTTATGTACACGTATGTAGTCTTCGTCGATACTGGACCAACCAGCCTTTAATGGGACATGAAACATCAAAATATCGGGTTTCAAATTTTAATAATAAATTGCCTATATTTATTAATTTGTTGGCCAACGACCAGTGCCCACCCCGCCCACGCTACCCCTTTTTGCCAATTTCTTCTCTAACCTCCAAGAAGATTTTCAGCGATCGCCATCTTTAGCGAACAAGTAAGTATAAGGAACTAATGTAAAAGCATTTAAGAAGATTAAGCAATAGTAGTTCTGTACCTGTTCTTGGCATCGTTTTTTTCATATGCCTCTGTTGTAAAATCAGTTGGTTTAATCTTCTTATTGGCAGCAAATTCCTTAGCTAAGGAACGTATAGACTGAATGTAAATAGATTACCACTGCGAAACAAATGATGACCAAGCTTACCCTTTTTGTTATTAAATTCTGAGCCCAAATTGCCCTATTATCACCTTGTATTGATGCTGATTTCGCTTCACTTTCAATCTA